GAGGGGGGGGGGGACCCCGCCGCCTGTGCGGCTTTGCTCGGGTCTCCCTGCTGTGCTGGGGAGTTCCCCCCAGCACACCAGGGAGACCCGGAGCAGCTTTTCTCGCCCCGGAGGATGCGGTGGCAGGACCGCTGCGCTCTGGGCGGTCCCGCCGCCCGCAAGCTCCGGGGCGAGAAAAGCCCCGTTCGTAAGTGCGGATCCGACATAAGTCGGATCCGCGTAAGTCGGGGACTGCCTGTACTGTATTCCTGTAGGTGGAATATTAGCTTTTCACATTGAGTACCCAAATCGGGAAATTGATCCAACTGTATTCACTACTTTGCACAAAAGGAATTAAATCTGTCAAATCTAAAACCAACTGGTTCATAGCCAGCAAGGTGTGAAATAGGAATTGACAGTGGGTGTAGAATGAGTAATATATTTAACTTACATTTTTTCAGCATGTTTTATCCCACAGAATCCTAAAGCACTTTTCAAACTAGATAAGTGAATCACTTGATTGATCATTGAAAACAGTCAGCTCTGGGGTAAAAAGTGAGAACGGTTTTAGTTGCCCTCAGCATTGTACAAGTTCAGGATTGGAAATTAAGAACATTGTATCCAGTTGAAACTGCAGGGGGGGATTTAAATTGATAGTGTGAATTAAGAAGGCAGACTTGCTTGACTTACCCAGCTCCCTTGTGAAAATGTTAACACTGCTCTTCTTTTTAAAGTTTCTTGACATGCTTCATCCAAAACACTGTTTTTCCCCCATAAACCGTGCTGGGCAAGTACTAACTGTTAGCGAAGAATGTCACTGCTATAAATGACTAACATTACTTTTCTGCAGAACTCTTAGTGTGTGTTCCTTAGTGATAACCAGACCCTTCTTGGCTGAGATCTTACCATTTTGCAGGCCAATGCAGTATAGCTGTGGGAACACACTGCACATAGTGCAGTATACAGCAGCATGCATTTACCAAAATTTAATCTTCCATTATACAGTCAGTACTAGATTTGTTAACCCTTTAAGCACTGACTTCTGAAAATCCCCATTTGCTTATCTCATTACCCTACTACTGGTAATCACCTCACTGCCTGTTGCTTGCTTATCTCCCAGTTAAATGGTTGCTGGCTTGGGGGTTCATTTTTAGATTCTCCTGCTGGTATGCTATCACAGTGGACAAGTGCCCCTCTTACAGAATTCTGCATGGGTGTAGAAGTGGCAGGAAGATATACCGTTTGGGGTATGCACTTGTTTGTGCACATATGGACCAGTACAGATTTGCAGAGGACAGAGCACATTGGGACTAATGTAAGGCTCAAGCTAACGCAGCAAATCCTTTCTGGTTCCAGACTTATGCCTCTAGCTAATGTTGCCTGAAAACCCTTTTCTGTAAACTGTGTTGTTTTTTCTGGGTTCTGCATTTTCAACATTGTTATCCATTGTATTTTTTTTTTCCTTTCAGGGAATGGGATGGTGATCTGAAGAAACTGCCAAATATTAAAATGAGGAAGGTCTCTGCTAAAGATGCAGTTTGCAATAGGACTGAGGTGGTAAATGTGGAAACTGAAGAGGAGTTAGATGCAGCAAAAGACACTAACCCACCACCTGATACAAGAGACGAAACAGTCAAAGGTGACTGCAAGGAACCTATTTGAACTATCACTTGAGGCAAGAATAAAGCTGGTATTTTCAGTTACATTTGAGACTACTTGTCTGGTTAAATACTTGATTAGTTGCTTGTGCTTCACCCTGGCCTTAAGGTACATTAGATTCAGTGTGATGCTTATTTAAAGAAAAAAACAATGAAAGCTTTAAAATCTGAAACTTTCAGAAAACTTCAATTTTTTACCCCTACCTCTCTTCAGAAGCCCCTCAGGTATGCCTTAGTGGGGAATAGTTATCCATAGCCTTAGTGCACTGTCCCACAGCCAAATCTGCAAATTACCTGTTTTGGAGATTGGGTTTTCATGGTATGGCCCGCTCTTTAGATAATAATAATAATGAGGTGTATATGTCCTGTAATTGTAATTACCTGTAACTTGGTCCATTACGTAGGGTGTGCTTTTAGAGAAAATGGTACTAAACATGCGCCTTAAATCTGGAGTTGTTGAATGTGGGGATAGATTTTTCTTTGCTGAGCAAGCAACCAGATCTCAGCAAATTGTGAGGCCAATGGTCAGGTGATGGCTTAGAGGAACAGGCTTTCATATAGCCTCATGTTAATATAATGGAAAAGTGCTTCACACTTGTAGGAAGGCTTTGGTGCTTCCTGTAAAGCATGTCCTCCCTGTATGTTTAACTTGGATCATATTTCAGGAAAGCCATTGTCAGACTTAAAAAGAAGTGAAGGAGAGAATAATAGGAAGCATCTCCTTCTCTATCCATTTCCTTTAAGAGCACAAGAACTGGCCTGTAACTAGGACACACATCAAACTAGAAACTTAGTGCCCCATTTAGTGATAAGGGATACCTTTAACTTGATCATCAAAAGGCTTCCTAGACTGTCAACTGCATGAACTCAAGAAAAGCCTTAAACTTTAGGGCTGTAGAGGCAGAATATGTTTCTGCCACTAAAGGCTATGTGCAATGATTGACCATTTTCTTGGCCCAATGGTAGCCAGGTAGCTCTTTTATGTAAGGGATTTTACTGTCATTACAAAGACTGAGGTGATTGCTGTGGAGCTGAGATGCGGTTGATCATTTGGTATGGGTTAGTGGATGGAATACTGGACTGAGATTCAGGCCACTAATATAGCTAGAAAGAGAACCCACCTATCCTAAGTCACTAACCTGTACCTCAGTAAAATGAGGCTGCTGCTTATTTCCTATGTAAAGCACTTGGGAATTGACAGATGAAAAGTGGTGAGAGAGAGGTAGGTGATTTGTGGCATTGTAATGCCTCAAGTCATGAAGGGGGTGAGCTTTCTCAGAGTTAGTTGTTAAGGGATGCTGCTAGATCTGTCACAGACTTGCCAAACAGGTTTACAGGTGGGCAATCTAACATCTTCATGGCAAGGGAATTTATATGAACCAGGTATCCAGACTATCCCTCATGCATAGGGAAATGCACAGAAATCGAGCTCAGGGCTTTTGGAGAAGACCTGATGATTTCATTTTGCTGCATGCACACATCCCTGTAGAACAAGTGGGGACTCCCTGAATATTTTCATACTGCAAGGCCTATGTGACCCTGTTTTATTCACTGTCTGAGTTTACTGACTACAAAATATATTGACCTGCACAATATGAATTGTAGTGATGCTAAATGCTTTGTGTTCTATTGAGTCAAATTGCCAGCTCCGATACCTGCTGAAAAACACTTGCTGTGCTGCCACAGTTATGTGAGATGTTTTCATGGCCACATTTTTGCTGGTACAGAAACTCCAGGTAAGATAATAGAATCCATAATTCAATTTTCTCTTAGGGTTAGTGGACATTGTGTGGTTGGTTGGTTTTTTGCGGGGGAAGGGGAGAGAGGCTACGTGGGTTATGTATGTGGGTGAGGTGGTAGCTACCACCGAGCAGATTTGAACCTGGGACCTCTGGAGCTTAGTGTAGGAGCCTGTTACAGCAAGAAATAAGAACAAGGGAGTTCTACAGCCTAAGCTGAACACCAACTGGCTTTATAGCTCAAGCTGTAAGTGCCACTATGTGGGACAATGAACCACAGTAGGTATGAGAGTTATAAATGCAGTTTATAAAAAAGATTTTCTTCGGCTCAGTTTTATGACTAAAACCACCTTGTTGTGATCAAGGCTAAGTTTTAAGCATCAGTAGTGTTACGCATAATTCTAGGATATGGCGTTTCATTTGTCCTCTGTGTGAGATTCAAGGGATAACCAGCCTTGCTGTTTCAGGTTGAAACTCTTAACTGGGATTCCCTTGCCCCAGTGGAGAGCTAGTGGATGGGACCACTTTGCCCCCGCAGGCTGACAGGGCAGCGGGATTTCCCAGAAGGGCAGGGAGAACCCCATGTGCAGTAATGAGACTGCTCAAGCAGGAGCCTGGTGCGCAGAGGTGGCAGGGCTACTAGGCACTGCAGCGAGGGCTAGTGAGAGGGAGGATCCATTATAGTAGCTGGGAGGCCAGCAGTCAGGCCAGGACTGGAGGGAGCTGGTGTTGGGGGGCCAGAAACAACCTCCCTAGCTCTGGCAAAATCCCTGATCTGGGATGGGTCAGGTGCTGGGGATGCTGGACCAGGGAGGTCCAACTTGTAGTAGATACAATCTAAAACTAAACCTCTTGCTGTCAACCAGATACTGTGTTTGGGGGCACTGCTCTTGATGTGTAAACACTTCGTAATCAGAGGTGTCACATCTTTCTTTGACTGAAATGGGAGGCAATGTTGGCTACTACACTAAAAGTAAGTGTAGGATGAATATGGAACAGTTTGAAACTGATGTGTCTCTTTTCCACTGATTGATACATCATGCTATTTTGTGTCTGTTCTGTTACACCCTATCTTTGCAAATTCCAATCAGTTACTTATCAGATTTCTTCTGTATGTAGTCTGGAATGAGGATTTCCTGTCCTGATCAATGAACTTGTATCAATGTATTTCATAACAGTAAGTTTCTGTTACTAACCAGAAAAAAAACTCAGTTCTTGCCAGATGTTTTGAACTAAACTGAATTAATCAGTAATAAATACATAATTAACCTCTCTGTTTCTTAAACTGAAATGAAACAGTGCTACATGGAAATGAGCTGGAGAAATTAGAGGCTTGCAAGATATTTTGACTGACCTGTCACCATTGTTCCCTTGAAGCTGCATCCAGGATCATGCAGCAGTCTGATAGCTTGTGCACAACTCACGTTGCTGGGAGTGCACGTAGGTTTTCAAACTGTCGGAACCTGTGGTGGCTCCTCTCTGTGTTGGGGACCAGAAGGAACCCTAGAACCAGGAAGGGTGAGTAGTGAGGTGAGGGAGGCAGGAGGTCTGGAGGGAGCAGGACTAGCACTTATGTCCCACTCTGCATGCCATGCCCTCCTGGCAGAACCTGGGACAGCTCCTCTTGGGGCCACAGGAGGCTGAGAGCCAACAGGGAGGTGGAACTGTTTGCGGTGCCATCACAAGGCATATGGAGCTAGCTTTAGAGAAGCTAGACCTGAGGCTGGTAGCAGCATCCAAGATGGGCAGTGCTAAAATGAGTACTCAGCCACCCATCCAATAGAGAATGGTTGTGTGGGGCTGTGCTGCCATTGCTACTGCCCTGCCTGGGTGCTTCTTCCTGTCTGGACTCTGATGGCAACTCCCCTAGGATCTTGGATAGTTGTTCAGAGTAGAGCTGGCAGAGGGGATGAGACCCTACAATCCTTTCCCCAAAGAAGCTTTGAGCTAGCAGGTAGGAGGCAAGGCAAGTCTGGGAAAAACAGTTAGGGGTTCTCCACAAGAGCCTTTCACACTTTTATTCAGTTAACCCATTGTTTCCTAAGACTAAACATCTGAGCTTTCAGATTTATCCACAACAAAGGTTTTATTGCCTGCTCACTGTGCCCTGCATTGGTTTAACTAGAGATGGGGTGGTGATACATTTAATAAAATGGGTGCAATGTGATATGTAATTGCTCTTTACTATAATGGGTCTCATCTGCTTAGCTTGCCTTGGTAAATTTCCATGCAAAACTTAAACAGATATCATTGATCTGAAACCAATAGATGTATATTCACTTTTTTTAGCTGAATTGGTGAAACTTCCATATGTAGACATGCAATACGTCTGTTCTTTTTAAATAGGATGAATAAAAGGGGCAATAAGCCTTATTCTTCCTAGAATAACTTGAAAGACTAGTCTGTCACTATAAAAAAAATGTGGTGTCCTTAATAGCAATGTGCTAAACTGACCATTTTTTTTAAAAAAAGTATGCTTTTGGAGTCATGGAAAATATTATATTAGCTGTCTAAACATTTTCCATTAATAATTCCATTAAAACAAAAGGCATTCTGTAAAGCAAATGTATGATCTGTAAAGATAACTTGAAAAAGTCAAACAGTTTAAAATAGGGATGTTAAATTTTAATTGGCTAATTGATGCAATTTGCATCAACTATTCAATTAGTGGATAAGGGAGCCTCCACCTTTGAAGTGTAGCAATAGCCCCAGCATTCCCTCTTTTCTCGCTCTGCTTGCTGCCTCTTTCTGATAAAGGCTGTGGGGGGAGAGAGCGACTAGTCCTTCACATTCCTAGTCTAGAAATAATTTGTACTATCTGGCCCTCCTCACCTCTTGGGCATTTTAAAAGAAATTAAATATGGAAATAATTGTAATTGTAATCTCATGTACCACCCTATGTTCCTTTTAGCTATCATAATTTTTCACTGTTGTGTTGGTAGTAGATTACACAGGGGAAAAGGAAACATCTATAGCTTATAATGAAAAAGGTGTTTGTTTATTGTAGTCAGAAAAATTACTATAAAATGGGCAAGATCTTACATAGGTAACAGGTAGGATGACTGACTCACTCTGACAAACACTAATTGGTATTAAGTATCACTACAGAAAAATGAACTGGATTTGTATTCTGTGTTGCATACAATGAATTTGTTGGGTAAGTTTTGACTACAGAATCTATATAGGGTAATGATGGAAGAGAGAAACTTCAGTTGACCTTAAATTTCCAGGTTGAAAGTGATAGAGAGAGAAAATGAATTTGGAATCCTATAATGTCATTTTTACAATAATCTGACAATTACTGTGCTCTGTAGCCAGCTGGCATATTTCCTGTGTTGAAGAGTCTACTCCTTCTGCTAATGCAGATAGAGATGAATGCTATAAGGACTCTTTGACTTTGTTGTACTTGTATTCATTTTAAATGAAAAATATTGACCTCAATTCATGTAAAAATGTTGCCTTTTGTCTAATTACTCCCATGTTTTCTATGCTTAAACATAATTACTTTAAGGAATATCTTGGAAATGTGACTTGCAGAAAGTGGCTATAAACATTGCAATGTTAGCTGCTGTAGCTGGGAAGCACTAAAAGTTATCTTGCTTTTCTAATTAGAAAATGTAAAAGATGATTTCTTGTTCACTTAAAGAATGGCGTGAGCTGATTTTTTTTCCTCCCTGCCCAGTGTCTAAAGTAGTTAGTTTTGTGTGTGTTTG